AATAATAATAATAATTTTATATTTTATATATCCTGGCATCTTCCACAGTTCCTTAATAAATACTGGTTGTTTCTCATCTCATGTATATAACTAGTAATAAGCCTTAAAGTTTTTAACTTAAACATACCATATTTTTCCATATGTTCTCTTCCAGCAATCCCAAACATCTGAGCAACAATTGGGGAGGCAGACAATTCATACTTATTGCTTATGACATCAACATGTTTATCAAGTGGATTGGTCATACCTGAAAACTAAGAGAGGGGGTAAGAAAACAAAATTTCATAAGTAGCTGGCATTATAAGAGTCTCTTTCAACTTCTACAACATTACTAACACATTTGTATATTCTAAGAACATAGTAAACCAAAAATAGTCAATGTGAATAAAATCAGTCAAGAAATGCTTTCTCGGGAAACATGGGAAGAAGAAAAAATAATCAAATGATCAAAGAGGTATTAATTCTTTCAAGAAATATTTATTGAGCATCCACTATGTGCCAATAACTATTCAAGGTGCAGGAGATAAAAGAATGAACAACTCAGATAAAGACTGCTGATCTGGCATTTACATGTGGGAGGGAAGGGAGCAGAAGGTGATGGGTAGAAAAATAAATAAAAATATAAATAATAATGCTATAAAAAAAGAATAAATCTGAGTAAGAGGATAAAGACTGGAGGTAGGAAGTGCTATTTTACAGACAATAGTCAGGGGTCGTCTCCTTTATAAGGTGATATTCAAGCAGGGATGTGAAGGAATAGAGAGTAAAACATTTGGATAATCCTAGCAAAGGGACATTCTAGGCGGATGGAACAGCAAACACAGAAATATTCAGGCGGGAGCATAATTGAGGGTTTGAGAAAAGGAGCTAATTAGATAAGGATAAATAGATACTCAGAGAGTATAAACACCTCTATTTCCATAGTTCTAGAAGATCACATTTCCACTGCAAATATTCCACAATGAAAAAGCTGTTTCTTGTCAGTTTACCTACTAGATTATAAGAGGGCAGGAACTCTTTCATACACCTTTGTATGTATACCCAATGCTAGTATATGGCCTGCCACATAGTAAACATTCCATAAGTTGTTGAATGAATAAATAAAGGTAATTTTTTTTGGTCCATAAAGGAGTTGTAAAGGGAATACTATTTAGCTATTTTCCTTGATTAAGAGGAAAACAGGGCCGGGTTGGGTGGCTCACGCCTGTAATCCTAGCATTGTGGAAGGCTGAGGTGGGGGGATGACTTGAGCTCAGGAGTTCAAGACCAGCCTGAGCAAAAGTGAGACCCTGTCTCTATAAAAACTAGAAAAATTAGCCAGGCATCGTGGCACACACCTATAGTCCCAACTATTCGGGAGGCTGAGGCAGGAGAATCACTTAAGCCCGGGAGTTTGAGGTTGCAGTGAGCTATGATCACACCACTGCACTCCAGTCTGGGCAATAGAGCAGGACTCTGTCTATAAAAATAAATAAATAAATATAATAAAAAAAAGCCATAAGAAACTTTCCAAGATGAAAAATACAATGTCTGAAATGAAAAGTACACGGACTGGAATTAACAGCAAATTAGACACCTAGACAGATTACTAAACTTGGGGACAGAGCAATCGATCCAAAATAAAATCTACACAGGGAAAAAACAACTTGAAAACAACAAAGAAAGCACCCGTGAATTGTAAAAAAAAAAATCTAGACACTCAGTAGGTATGTAATTGGAGTCTCAGAAAAAGAGATGGTGAAGGGAGAAGGAAGGCAGAAAAAAATATTTTAAGATATAATGGGGCCGGGTGTGGTGGCTCACGCCTGTAATCCTAGCACTCTGGGAGGCCGAGGCGGGCGGATTGTTTGAGCTCAGGAGTTCGAGACCAGCCTGAGCAAGGAGCGAGACCCCGCCTCTACTAAAATTAGAAATAAATTAATTGGCCAGCTAAAAATACATAGAAAAAATTAGCCGGGCATGGTGGCGCATGCCTGTAGTCCCAGCTACTCAGGAGGCTGAGGCAGAAGGATCACTTGAGCCCAGGAGTTTGAGGTTGCTGTGAGCTAGGCTGACGCCATGGCACTCACTCTAGCCCAGGCAAAAGAGTGAGACTCTGTCTCAAAAAAAAAAAGAAAGCCTTCTACCACTCTCATTTGCCGATTGTTCGGATCACCCAGTCCTGCTCGCAGAGAGGGCAGTGATTGTTCTGTTTCACGCACAGAAACATGCAGCAGTTGTGTAAGGAATGATTACACTCTCTGCAGACCATAATACAACCCCCTTGTTTGTTTTCATCTTGACATCTAAGACAGGCATTCATCACCTACACCCAAAGAGGGTGCACGTATCGCACTCCATGTCCCAGCTCTACATAGCCACCGCGTTCCCCACAGGGAACATTGTCCCCTACCCCACCTGACCCCCCCCACTCGCCCCCAAGTGAGGGCCAGGAGGCAGGGGTCCTCGCCATCTTCCATGTCTACCATTGCAGCAGCAGAGACGTTGTGTCGGGGGAGGTGGGTGGCTATGGGTGGCTCTGTGAGGCTGCCCAACAGGCCACAGCACCCTGACTTTTAAATTAAGGATCAGAAATACAAAATCTTAGCAAGCTGGCGCAGTGGTGTGCACCTGTAGTCCCAGCTACTTGGGAGTCTGAGATGGGAAGACCGCTTGAGCCCAGGAGTTTGAGACCAGCCTGGGCAACACAGCAAGACCCTGTCTCCAAAAAAAAAAAAACAAAAAAACAAATTCAGTTAGAAATTGCTGTAAATTAAGGAATGAATACAGGAACAAAAAAAAAAGCAAGGAAAAAAATAGAAATGCAAGACGTAGATGGGAATAAGGGGGTGGTGAAATGTCAGGGAAAAAAAAAAAAAGGAGGTCATGCCAGAGAGAGATAAAAAGAGGAAAACACCAAGTATAAAAGAAGAGGCCTTGGCATGGTGGCTCACACCTAACTAATCCCAATGCTTTGGGAGGCTTGAGGTGGGAGGATCTCTTGAGGCCAGGAGTTTAAGACCAGACTGAGCAACACAGCAAGATCCTGTGTCTACAAAAAATAAAAACATAAATAGATTTTTTTAAAAGAAGAGAAGGGGAGAGAAGAGAAGAAACAATGGAAAAGACAGGAGAAAATGATGGGTTCACTGGGGAAAGCAGAAAGTTTATATTTGGATTAGAAGAGCTAATCTAGGCCGGATTGCTAACTACTAACTGGGTACTATGTCCCTGGGTAGTTACTTCACTCTAGACTTCACTCTAGGCTTCACGGATTCACTTAACCTGTAAAATCTCTGTATGTTCATCAAATCCTAAGAACCTATCCTACAGAAATAATAGCTTTAGTAAGTACAAGAATGTTGACTGTAGCACTATAATAGCAAAACAAGAAAAAAGGAAAAAAAAATCCTATCAAGAACCTAATCAGAAGGGAGAAGTAAACTACTTAGCCATGTAAAAGGATACTAAACGACTATTAAAAATAAGGAAGCATATCAATGTTCTACCCAGGAAAGACATCCAACTGTTAATTGAAAAAGTAACATGTATAAGGTCATTAATCTTCTTTGTATGTTTATAAAGGTTTTTAAACATATGTGTGTATATGCATATCAATGCTTAGTTAATTAAATATGTCTATATAAACTTAGAAAAAAGGAAGGTGATATAGCTACCTAATTATTAACACTGGTTACCTCTGAGGGAAAAGATTAAATAGGCAGAAGGAAAGACTTTCTATTTATATACATTTAACTGTGGAATTATGGTTGAGCTTTACTATTTATTAATTTTTAAAAATCATCAGTTACCAAGGCACCTATCATTCACTACTGAAGAAATCTATTTTTCATGTGTCATAAACGTTAGGCA